TGACGTTATTTCCAAAGATCTTACTTTTTATTTATGATAAATATAGAATATCATGTCTATTTCCCAAATTCACCACTTCACTGGTTGAAATTAATGCTGTCACAGGTATCATTTTCATTTACAGAGCGATGTTTTTATTCAAATCAGAAAGTACATGTAAATTCTTGTATGGTAATTTTGCTTGTTTAGTAGCAAAATTTCAGCATTCGTTTTTTATAACACAAATGCCCATTCAACTTTGATACGCAACACTAGTCAGTTCTACATAATTGGTATTTTTATGGTCAATTTATCAGCAGTTTTTCAATCTGTCATTTTCGAGTTTAATGTAAAGAATTTCATTATGTAGAAATACGGTTAGTTTACCCTTTCATAAAGGACACAGTTTCACATAAACTGTGAAAAATATCGCCGCACGAGAGGGACACGTGCGTTTGCCAGAATTAATCACAGATGTATCGAAAATTGATCAAGACGATAAAACGCGAGATTTGGACGGCGCGTGTGCGCTATGGACACACCAGAGAGAGATCTAATACAGTGGATATCAGCAATCGGCGAAAAGCCGATGAAATGGCCACTGCTGAAATTTCATCAAATCTGAACATAATGAGCCTTGTCGACCACAAGGGCTAAAGTATACTTCGGTATGTCAGCATGGACTCAATAGCAAAAAAGAAATCAAAAGAGTTTTAATCCTCTTATTCTGTCAAAGAGAGCCAAAAAATTAATTAGACTTTCAAAAGACTATTAACTTTTTCAGATTTCTTCAGTCAAAGAATGTGTTGGAAAACATAGATATTTTAAGAAACTGAGAGTTCTTTAGACAAAAACGAGTTATGCTTTAAACCATGAGAGAATTTTAACCACCTTTAACCGGCAATGGATGGGTGTATTGTCATACCGTTGTAAATTTTAAATTGTCATATTGTAATTTTTAAATTGTCATATATTTTTCGTATTTTCATATTGTGCAATTTTTGTATTACCATATTGTAATTTTTGTTTTATTATCGCCCGATAAATTCAAAAAATACAACATGACAGTACCAACATGAGAGTAACGTTCCGAAGAGCCAGAGACCATACAAATAATCAAGCAATATCATACCTTTCGTAGAACTTTATATAAAAATGTCAAAAATATTAATATAATTCTTTAATGTTATGATTTCTCTTATTTTTTTTCCTTTATGGATCAGTACATGATAGGTGAAACCAGGACATTTATAAGCCTTATACTAATACAGTGACCTAGATATTCGCAAATTAGTTTCCTTCGGGAAAACCAAAACCATGGTAGGCAAGGAGGGAGTATTTAATGGTCGCGTACCCCCCGAAAATCTCCCGTGAAGTAAGGAACATTCCCGTCAAAAAGAAAATATTTTACTACTCAGACTGAGATAAGACTCAAGATCTGATAATCGGGGATTTTATCAAATTGTAAAAGTTATGTTTTTACTATCGTCTGAATGGATCAGTGGCGATTCTTTGATAACGGCCGAGTCGTATTACTAACAAATTAGAAACACTTTAGATATATGGCAAATACATTTTCACACAAAAAAATATAAGAAAAAATTGACGAGATAAGAATCTGGTTTCGTTCAAATGTTTTAATTCTGGGGGCATTTGTACGACTTAATTTTAAAAAATACCAGATCATATGACGAAAAATGGAAAATAAAGAAGAACTTTAGGGTTAATTGCAAATTCCAAGAATGTCAAAAATATAAAAACATTACATAAACACTAATTTGAAAAACCAACACACCCTTGGGGAAAGTTTCTCCAGACTTGGCCTCTATTGCTTACCAAACAACCCTTAGAAGTCGGCTCTGCTAAACGATTTGAACTCTGTCGATTCCAAATAGCACAATTTCAGTGAAAACACGATTTTTCTTTTCTTAAAATTGAAGTAAATTGTCTTTTGCGCAATATCCATCGTCTCTTTCAATATTTTTTTTAAAAAATGTTTAGTTTATATGTCTTTGTACTATTCCAGACGAAAAGTAATCTATAAGCAATAAGAAAAAGTTCTTTGCAAGGTTGCTTTGAGGACAAGAAAACCCAACAAAACTTTTTTTATGTACAAGTTAATGTTTCGGTCCTGTCACTGTTTTGAGACGAAACAGAGTTTATTTCTTTGCAATTTCTCGCAGAAAGATATACATCTGTCTTTGAAATTGGGTCAGACAGATTGATCGCACAAGGACACTCTTAAAAGTAGAACACCAAGACTCATTTTGGAGTGTGATTTCAGACAACTGAACTTCTTGAAGCGACGATATGTTACACAGTGTTCATGTAAACGCCTCAAATAAAATACCTCGGATATAAAACTAAATGTTAAGGCCGCTAAAACAACACAATCCTATGGGAAATTTCTTAATTACGTACATAAATGATACATAAAGTATAAATTGCACTTCAAAAAGAATATACGCCTTTGCTTCACATAGGCACGTTTAATATACTGTATTACGTCTACACATGTACATGTAAATGCTATATTTTGACAGCGATTTGATGTAAACTCCTTAATGACCTTGAAGATTAATCGTTCGTTTCAAAACTATTTTTTCCTGTGTTGTGTAAGTGTTTTTGAACGTACCTTTCGTCAAGTAACGTAATGTAAAAAGACAAAATACAACGATAAAATAATTTGTTTATTATTGCATAATAATATAAATTTGGTTGGTTAAAACAGACCAGCTGCTATTAAATGTTAAACTAAGAAAAAACAACGAAGTACCTACAGATCTACTGTAGACTTAAGATGTACTTACAGTATCGTCCAAAATTTATATGCAACATACAGCAGAGTTTAAATATATGTTGATATTGCTCATTTTACAAAAAACAGACATTTAACGATATTTAAAGAAAAGAAATGTTTTATAATATAACATATAGATAAAAAATATAAATAAATATAAATGTAGAGCCCGGGTCAGCATAAAGACAAGAGAATGTCGGTAATGTGCATCTGTTCTCAGTGGGCAATGCACTGATTAAATTGTGGCGAGATTTCATCGAGATTTCAGCGATATCATATCATAACCAAAGATTAAACTACATCTGATAAAGAGCTTATACTCAATATACAAGAGTGCCAAAATGCAGAAACTTCACAAAAAAGCACACATTGAAAGATAGCCATCAGGTTTTTACGGAGATAAGGGGCAACAAATAAAGTTTTGGAAAAGACATTAAAAAGTGCAGTCGGCCTGAACCTTTTAAGCAAGCGCTTTGGAGACCTCAAATTGGCTGTCATCAAGCCGAAATAAAATCTAGCTATCTGATCAAAACTGTTACTGTAAAACCGAAAATTCCTCGTGTAAAGAATGGACATAAAATCCAGAAGAACTTTCCTTTAAATTTCTCATATACTTATTCTTTTTGTCAATACATTATATGACCTTTTTTTATATCATTTTGATTTTTCCTGTATCTTTTAAGTGTAATGGATATTAATCCCTTAATTACATGACCTTGGATTACATAAATGTATATGGAACAATGGGGAGGATTGGGGTATAAGCTTCATTAATGTTGTGTATTTTCTTATCTATATACAATCATATAGATACTGACACTTGGAGCAAGAAAGATTTTCGTTTGAAATAGATGACAATGTAAAATTATTTCACTTCGTTTAGATGACTATCATAATTCATGGAAGAATGCATTTGTGTGTTGCTTTTGGCCATAGAAGGATTGGTCAAGCAATCGTAAATTTGGTTATCGAATTCAATCTTATGGCTAATACTTGTCAAGTAAAATAACCACTGTGGAATCAAACTGCTTTACAGAATTTATACATAGAATAGTTAAGCATTGTAAATTCAAATTAAATTTAATTAAGATTCCATTTTTTAAAATCATATCAAGAAATTCCTTTCGGGTAACTAACACCATATTATCAAATGCTAATGAGTATATTGTTCAAGGAATGTGCTAATCTCAAATAAGATAATGTCTATTTGAGATTAAAAAAGTACTAACAAATGATATTTAACTTCGCAAAATGATAAAATTTAATTTGCAGCACATCGCTGTTTTCCCAGCCACGTGTGAATTTATCACCAGGTTGCATTAAATTCTGATTTAAACCTACAACGGTACAAGGACGAACACAGAAGCCAGATATCATCAAAAATATTAACATAATCACAACAAATGAAAACCTTAAAAGTCATAAAATAACAAATTAAAAGGAGATCCCCAGTGGATAAACTTGAACCGAGGCAACTTATCTGAAAAGTATCGATCTTGTTCGTGGTACATAGATACAAACTTCAAAGGAGACGAGCGTATGAAGAAGGGAAAAGTGAAAATGAGGACATTAAAATTCGTTATTGCAAGGAGCAAAAACGCATCTAGAAAAGCTAATAACCAAAAGATGAGGAGAAAAAAATAAAATGGTCCAGAAACTGGATTTAAAAGTACAAGATAAGGCCAAAAACGCCTACATGTTCATATCTAACAGTAAAAAGTATAACATACGACATATTTAATTATAAAATTTCCTCAGTTACTTGACTGATGGAAACTCAAATCAATCAAAATAAGGTAAATTTTATGGAAAAATATTTAAAAAGTTATATTTAAAAAAAAGATATCAAAAACGCCATAGAAAAAGATACACTTTTGTCTACACATATAATTTTACAGCTTTCAAAATTTTTAAAAGAGTAGAGAATTCTATAACAAGAAGAACTGAAAATGTGATTTTAAATATCATGCATGTACCGATATTGGTTAAAATAACATCATTTTTAACAGTTATGTACAAAAAATCTCCATAATAAATATTATATAGATTAAGGTCGAAGTAATAGTTCACATTTATATATGTAACACAATACATGTAAGCCCTATACACATTTTATCATTAAAATGGACGATAAGAAAGAAAAAAGATATTAATTCATTCATGTATATATATATGTATACGCATATAGAATTCAGTAAATATCAGTTATACTTTCGTTACTTTATATCTATTTGTCCTGTTACAATCGGTACTGAATAATAAAAAAAAAAAACAGAAATGGTTAATCAGAAAATATCCAGTGAACTGTAATTACGCTTACAGATTACCATAAACTACACATGTAATAAAATAACCATTAGGACGGACTTAATGACTTTGAAAATGTAAAACAAACAAGTGGTCGTGTGCACATTTAGATAGAAAATAAACATCAATATTTACTCTACAAATACAGAAGAATATCACAGTCTAGGATAGCCGATACAGGGGCTAACTCGAGCGTGAATGAAAAGGCAAAGACGAGGATCGGTCGAGGAAAGGACACGGATGGCTGACTGCGCAGGCGTCATTTGACCGGAATGCCGTCAATGATGCGTATCCTGCCCTGGGCACCTGCTTTTCTACAGCTGACGTTGACCACCTGATGAAAGAAAAATATTGAGTGGAGGCTATTTGAACTGTGTGACAATGAGATACTATAAATTGTCTTATCATTGTCCCGTATCGGTAAGGGTAGGGGACGGCCAATCGGATTCCGTCAATATCTCGTTAAAGCCGGTGTTTTAACCACAAATCAAATTTATTTTGTGATATTATTCATGTCATTTAGAGAATAATCAATACTTAAAAATACCGTTTTTTTTAAACAATTAAGACCATTAATTTTAACCCTCTAAAAAAGTGAGAAAAAATCAAATAATGTCATTTACCAAAATATGTGGGTACGTTACAGTGTTTCAAGAAAATTTGAAACAATTAACGTTTGGTCCTATTCTTTAAAAAAAAAACATGCTATCTTCATAACCCTCATAAATTCCTGATTGTGTTTTTAATTGACACGGATGCTGTAATCAAGGAGTATCCTGTCTTTATCAGTAAAAACAGATTCATATAAAAATCCTGGAGACAAAGGCCCGCCCCGGACCCGATTATCTCGGAGTGAATAAACTCCCTACACCTGATGTAATCTGGGCCGCTATTACCACCATCAAGGAATAGAAGCAGGGGCCAAAAAAGAAAATGATTAATTGGACTTGGATCGCAGGATTCTTCTTAAAAATGATTCCATAAAACAGAGTACAAAGCCACACGGCCGGGTATATTTTACGAAAATTATTGGCCTCTTTGAAATTATTACCCGTTTTAATAAACAGTTTCTCTTATCAGTTTCAATACCCGTAATTAATTAACACCAATTAAACGCTCGAAATTCTTACAAACTTCAAATACGTCAGACAATTACTGTCAAAAATGAATTACAACCAGTGTGAATCTCTCTCTCTCTTTCTCTCTCTCTCACAGAGGACAATGTATAAAATGGTCACATCAAATTTTGATCCTTTTTCTATTAAATATCAAATCTTGTGATGATTTTCAACTCTTCAACCCAAAATTGAATTAGTAAACTGATTTTAATTCAAAGTGTAAACGGGGAACACAAAAAGGTTACAAAAAAAATCAAATCTTCTCAAGTTTGGAGGTATTTTCGTTATATTTAAGCAAATTTTCTCCTCGGGAATCACATAGCGCAAGTTTGCCTATCTAATATTTTCAAACCTTACGTGTAATTATATTGAATATGTGATCAATGTAAATCTGGTAAATTTAAGTTCAGTGTTTTCCGAAACAAAATGTGATTGTCTGTTTGTTTAACTTTTTTCAATATTTTTTCCACTTATATATAATTTGATACAACACCGCTTGCCGATAAAAGGATATGATACCTACACTTGGCACTCAGGCTTTATGCAGTGAGGGATCTATTTCGTGCCAGCATCTACAGCGACACGGGACAACGGTTTATACGGTCTCTTCCGAAGGACCAGTCTATACGTTCCTCAGTAAGATTCGAACCCGCGACGTACGTATCAGCTCCTAACTCCACAATATTAATTTTAGAGAAAACGCCCTAGCTAACCACTGTGACAGGCGGGGGTCTGCCTTGAGATCTCTGTTGATTTCTTAAATTATTTTGAAACAGGATTTTAAAAAAACCAGCAGAAATTGATTATGAACTGTTGCTTTTCTCCAGAAGTCCAATTATTGGGGCCAAAAACGAATCTTAGCGTTTTTCATCCTTTCATTTTCCGTCTTACTCATTTTTGCATTAATTATTCAAGGATTGAGACATACAGATATCTTACTGTTAACCAATTCTTAAAGTCGTTACAACACATCGTTGAGTTAGAATTACTCATATGTAACTAAGGAATCGTTTTAACAATGATTGCAGTTTTTTTCCAGTATCACTTTTCTAAGCATAAAACTCAGTGTTTTAAAAAAAGGAAAATCTTGGATTTAAATAACGAACAGTTTTGATCTTTGGACTGATAACTAACAAGCAAAGAATAAAAAGTTGACTAAATCTTAGACCACCCACTATTTTCAGCACATTACTAGCATTATATGTAGTCAACAGTATTTTACCTTTCTCCTTATGCATGCTTTGAAGCGAAAGAATAAAAGTCAAAACGATAAAGGTTTCATTTCGCGGATTTTATATAACTTCTCTTTTTACATTATTCTATATTTGAAATTCAAAAGAAACATGATATCCAAAATATGAACATATTTCCGTTAATGACTAGTTCAAAGCAATGTTCTCCATTGCGGTTTTATTTCTTTCTTAACGGTCACAACGTAAATAGCTCAAAATTCAAAGACGATACAACATTTGGGACCTTAAAAGGGTGTGATCTTATTGTCTTTTTAAAACCCAGACAATACTAAAGTGGCTATTTTCTCACAGACTTGTGCTTGGGTTAATGAGTTAGGAATCGTGACTTATATTTTTGACATGGGATATTTTAATTTCTGTTTTTAAATACTAAGTAAACTCTGTTCTGGGACCTTGGAAAGATATGGAATTTAGAAATACAACTACTACTTGTATCTGCAAATTATTTTGTTAGAAAGTTTTTCCATGAATTTTGTATGAATTCTTTCATAAAAAAATATATGCACTTCGAAAATATTACTTTTTTTTCAAAGTGTTTTATATGAAAAAAAAATATATGCTGACTTTATTAAATAAATAACATCAGTAATAAAACTCCTTTCATTTATACGTGCAAAAAAGAAAAAAAATTAAAACTCAATTTTTTAAATATTTTGTGATCAGATACAAACCACGTTCATAGAACTGTCTTGTTTTAGAACAAAAATTACCTCATTAGGAGGAAATACCGATTCCTGTTAGATGAGTAATGTACATGACTATTTTAATGTTGGTGTAATTAAATCATAATATCGACACATTAGTCAAATCTATCCATTTCAACTTTTCATATCGTATAATACTTTGTCTCCAGTTTGGCTGGTATTGGTCAACACGGGCCATAGAGCGCGCGCCCCCGGGGTAACTTTGTGGTAAATGGGGGTGCTTCACTGATCAAATATGCGGTACTTGACTTTACAAATAGACTTCTCCTGAGTTCACTCGACTGTGGTAACTTGTGTGAGAAGTGTCGGACAAAGAATCTAAAGGCTCGTTTTCCCTCCTCTAACTCTATACGTATACTGAGAGATACAACCGTGATAAGGGGACCGGGAATGTAATGTATACTCTCACAAAATGCATCGTTAACTTGACACATCTACTGTACTGAGCTAACAGCTCGACCACGAGTCAATGGATACCAATAACATCCATTGTACCCTCACCCTGACTCACAAAAAACGACGCCGCACTCCCAGACAAGATACGAGGTCTAAATCAATAAAGCTGGACGGTCATGTTGTGACGCGGGGCATTACATCTTTCTGGCCTTTTGACAGACATTTCAAAAAGTCATTAAGCAATTTTATAGCATTTAAAGAAAAACAATATGTTGCATTTTCTGTGAGGGGAATTAACTGTGTTTTTTCACGTTCTCCACAAAGCTGGGTGTTTGGTTTCCCGGGAGGAATTGTAGTGAGGCCTCGCTGATCACAATGTATCGGAAACTTTATACTCATTTAAGACAAACAGATTAAGAGGGAAAAAATCTCTTTTATTTTTGTATTTTCCTATAGTTTTTTATAGACATTATTTCTTAAAATTATTTTCAAAATGATCGGTCTCTGCATTTCAAATATATTACATGTGGAGCGCGTCCCCTGGGAACTGCAGCAACAGTGATATGAACTGTTTTCACTTTAAAATAAGAACATTTTAAAATTGCATCCAATATATGTCTGTACTGCTTCATAGAAAAAAATACTTATATATATGCATTTTAAATTGCCAATGTTGCATCCGGGTCATGCATCAAAATTTAATTCTAGATTCCTTATTTCTGACCAACAAATGTGCCGAATCTTCCAACTGTCTTCTTAAAACATAAAACATATAACTTTCTTTGATAGGATGATTTTAATTTTTAATGAAATAAAGATACGGCAAGAAAGTTCAGAAAGGAGAACTAGTCTTCCGGCCTAACTAGGCAAGTGTCCCCATTGTGATCTATATCATTTTTCCGTGCCAATGCGAGAGATCGATTCGTGTTATTATTCTGAAAAGTCCGTAGTTTTAAAATTATTTTAGTAATCAGTGAAAAGTGTAAATGAGCATGCACTTTAAATTCCTCAAGCATGTGATATGTCTTTTCATTGAAGGCCTTGGTTCGAACAATGGTCAAAACACCTTAACTGTTCAAATTGTTCTAAATCTGACACTTCAGTTACTAATATTAGTCCTACAAGGCTATTTTGGAAAGAAACGTGTTTGTCAAGGTCATTTACGTACTTCCTTGCGCTTAAAAATATTTTCTTTCTACAAGGTCACTAGGATAAACGTGTGTACATCATCCCTGGAAGTACATGTACAATCAAGCCCAGTGTTTGCCCGGTAAAAAAAATTAATTAAATTATAAATAAATAAAAGTAGCATTTTTATGGATGAATATAAATTGCTAAATTAATTTGACATCAAACTAAAACAAACGTATTTATCTTTTCTGAACAATCCATAAACCTCGTAGAATATAATTATAAATGTGCAATGCTGAAGCATGTATATCTAAGTTTGTTGATTTCAGCAAGTCGAATTATCAAAAGTCCATCCTTATTAAAACTAAAAAAATGCAAAGCATACAACTATAAAACATAAAGTCGTCGAGTCTTTGCTCCACTTATTTTTGATCCTAAAAATTTCAAGAATTAAATTTAGACTTTTAATTTTATCACAAAATCCACACTGTGAACAGACAAATATATTTGGAATTTATACAAATAATTCAATCAGTTTATCTTAATTTTTTCGTTCAAGCAAATCATCGCAATTTCATCGAAAAAGAGGTAACGATAACATATAACAAAATTTAAAATTCATATTTATTCGTATCTTTTGCTCCTCTTTTTTCTGAATATTTTTTAAAGATGTAAAAAAATCTTAAAACCTTTGGTACACTTAATTTAGATTTTCAGCAAGAAATCCAAACTGATAAAACATATAATAAAGCATTTTGAAATTAGTTTACTTGTATCGCTATCAGAATGAGAGAACAAATTTAAGGAAAGATAGAAAAAAATGGACAATACAGTCCAATCAAATTTTAATCGATGAACTAAACCTACAAAAAGAATAATGGCCATACATTCTCCTCAACTGACTAGAGACAATGACCTACTAGTAACTAAGACTTCGTAATCAGCCAATGCGAAAAAAAGGAAATGCTGTTAGTTTGAAATAATTATAAGTCTTGATCTAGATCCACTGTTTGCATTGAGCTCGCAAAATGATACTTCCGCTCCAAATTGAGTATATAACGGAAAAGTGTAGCGGGTGGACGAACCGAAGGACAGCCTTTTCGATATGCAAGCTAACCCTGTTTTATGCAGGATTATAAGAAGTGCCGAAAGTAGCATTCTAGTACATGTAGATGTATTAGAAATAGCATTTATATACGTCTTAACAGATATCAAAATGCGCCGAAACTAGAAAAACTAGTAAATGTATTGGAGATAATATTAGCATGAACAGAATAGTTGTTAAAAACAAATCCTCCCTCGATTAATCCATTAACAACACTGAAAGGCAATGACATTTTTACGCCCAAAATATCTTTTTCAACAATTAGCTTGTTTTAATTTCTACTATATGCAGGAAACTGGTTTTATTTGCAATTGTCATTAACTTCTTAAAATCAGCTTAGTTATTATTTTTAAATCTTTTAGCTTACCGAATTGAAAAAGTCATTTTTTAAATATTAAAAAGCGTTAGCGACAGACACAGACACAGGGACGGATACGGAATCTTGAAAAATTCTACAAATGTCTATAATCCGCAGGATACCGGCCCTCGATAGAAAGTTAACTCCGTGGACTCTGTAGATTTAGTGATAATAGTCAAACCCTGTATATTTATATTTCAATGAAAAAATACGTAGAAAAAACACTACAATTGCACAACAGTTGAAAAAATAAAAATATTTCAAAGTTTCTCTGTAGTTGTCTTTTGAATATTTATTCCGTGTGTATTTATAAGTGCATGTATATACATGTTGACTTACTGAAAATTTCAAATTCACGTTAGTTTGGGTAAGGGAGAGGGGTGGGCGGGGATGGACTGTATTGGGATGGGGTGGTGGTTATGAAGCATGCTTATTCTTCAGATAAGAATTCATATATATGTTTCTTTTAAGTTATTGTTTAAATACAAATCGCCTTTATTCTTATTTATTAGGGATGTGCGATTTTATCGGTATACCGGTATATCGCGATTTTTTGTTGTGTGATAAGGAGACCTAAATACCGGTCTTTAGGTACATATTATAAAGTCCAGAAATTATTCATTTATTTGTTAATCTTTCAAATTACAATTACAGAAAGTATTGAAAAAATGTAAAAAGTGAAAAGAACGGCATCTTACCGTCCAAACATAATTGATTTTGTATTCATAAAAAATTAAAACTTTGTTTTTCTAGCATATTTTTTAGAAAAATAATAATTTTTCATATAAAATCATTGTAAAAACTGCTTTTAAAAATATCATGATGTTATCGTGATATTGTGGGAAAAAATCGTGATATATCGCGATACGAAATTTTTGGCGATACCCATCCCTATTATTTATCCATAATCGCTATATGCCTATGTGTAAAAATGCTATGGGATAATTTAAACTATCACTTTCAAGCTTGTTTAATCTATGTGTACTAGGCAGTATGATAATTCACTGAAAATGAACTCTATTAGCTAGAATTGACGTTTCCCTATGAACGGTAAATTTTACCGTCATTGTAACAAAAAGGTAATACAAGAATTCTATAAACAACACCTACACCCCTTACTTGTGCATGCAAATTACAGCTATAAAGTGTTAAACTGAGATCTGGAAGACATTCGAAGTTTGCTAAACAATGCTGAAGATGACTATTTATCCCTACATGACTTTCTAGGAAAATGGAATTATTTTCACACTACAATCCTATAAAAATTAATTTTCTCACGCATCAATTCGATAGATTACAGATCAATTACGTTTTGGGGTCCTTTGCTAAGAAATTCGTGTAACAGAAAAAAATTAAATTCAATCTTTTGTTTTAAAACAAGCGTGAGACAGAAAAAATAACCAATGAAATGTCATATAACACGTTCAAGAAATATAATTGGATAATGACGCGGAAATAAAATAATTTTGTTCCTCGTTTGTCTACCGCGAAAAACAGCTAAGATGAAAAATCCCGATAGCCGTCTCAAACTCTCAAGTCAAGGAGGGAGGTGTAAAGTCCTTTTCCTTGTTTATCCCTAAATACCTACCTACAGTGAATTCACAGTCAAGGACCTCTTAAAGCAGAGAAAAGTACTAGAAAAATTAAAAATAACAATATATCGATTTTTAATAAAATTGCTTCTGATTTTAATACATCTGTATATACTTTTTAATGCATTACGGCTACACTGTAACTCTCAGGAGTGCATGAAGATCGATAAAATTGCATACATTACAGTTTACATTTTTATAATAAAAAAAAAATCACTCACTTTAGCTTGCTACATTTTTAAATATGACAGCTAACATACGGGAACATTTTAGTTCCCTGTGAGGTAAAGTGGGTGGGGTTCCAGCATCACCGCCAACCCCCCCCCTCCCCTCCCCTCAACATCCCACATTTACCCCTGCCCTCACCGTTCTTTATCCTCACCATTTAGTTACGTCCTTGGCAATATGATTGCAATCGATAGACTAAACTTATGTTTTTACAACTGGATGGGACAATTCAGATACAGTCAGAGTAAAATTAGGCATTTCTGTTATTAGTTTACACTAAGTACTTTGCCGCGCGATTCATTTTAATCATAAGAACTTTCTTACATAATACACGTGTAAATTTACATTTTAATTATACATCACATGTACTCAAATGAGTAAATGAGAAAAAAAATAATCATATGATATAAAAAAAGTTTCCTACATAAACTTATATGAGGAAAGACAATTAAATTCTTCACAAAGATCATATCTAAGAAATGCGAAGTCGTCCGCGTGGTTCAGTGGTTGAAGCGTTTTCTACTTAGAGTCACAGAGTAAGGATTTGATCCATAGGTTGACTTCGCGGGTTCGAGTCCACTGTGGGACGTGGAGACGGGTCTTAAGAATTAGACCGTAAGAACCGAGAACCAGTATCGCAAAGTGCCGACTGGAAAAGATTCTTCATTGCTAAAAAGCCTTGAGTGGGGAGTACAGGTCTAAATTTGTAGCCCTCTACCGGCATGAGGCACATTAAATATAGAAACTTTCATTCTCTGCTTCTCAGTCATAATATCGAAATATTGTAATCCTGCAAGGCTAATCCCTTTTTTAAAAGAAAGCTTGAAACTTCCACACAAGTGGAAATCATGTAAGATTAACAATTATATTCAATGCGGGAAATCCGCGTTTCCGTTAGAGAGCTACTGCACCTACAGGAAAATTTCCAAATTCTTTTTTCTGAACAATTGAAATTGTATCGATTATGCAAACTGAATATCAACTTAAAGTGGATGTTTAAGACAGTACAAGAAAACAGGATACAGAGTAAAAAAGTAAAGTCGGGCAAATTCACCTATAGTATGAGGGAAAAGAACGACAACTCTGATAGACCGTCTTCAATTATACAACAAGGACTATTATTTATATCTTATGAGTTGAGAGATATCATGTTTTTAAATGAAATAGAAATACTTCATGTTCAAATTAAAATTTGTTTTTCCGGGCCCTTTATTCTGGGAGTGGAGGTTGGGGGTTGCGATGTTACTTGAGTTAAATGGTGTGCTTTATTTTAAATGGCCTACTGAAAATCTGATTAACTGCTCACAAACAAAAATAAAATAGTTGTCACTTTACAGCTTTACCATATAATTCTGAAATCTGGGTTAATCTAGTCAGTCATTTTAAAAATAAATTCTAACAGCATTAACTTTTTAAATTATGACAATAATTTCAAAAGAGAATTGCTTGAAAAAAAATCTTTTATAACACTATTATGCAAAGGAAGACAACTTGCATTCAATGGAAAGAATAGTTCACATCCAACCACTTAAATTATAATTCTCTATCCCAAAACAAATAAGCTTACTCCCCAGCAAATATTACTTTCATTGATTTAAGGGGCGAGATTTGTTTTAAAGATGTTACACACATTTTTTTACCAATTTTTGCAGCAGTTTAACTAAAATTATTATAAATAAAAATAATTTTCGTGGCAATTTTTATTTGCATTCAAATTTAAATCCCTGTGCAACCAACATTAATTAAATACTCATAAATAAATGACTGAAAACCAAAAATTCAAAATGAGTAAAAATGTTACTTTTCTTTCAGAAAATTTGAATATTTCAGAATGTACAAACTCTGTTTTTAAAAAAAAACGTATCACTGCAAATCAATATATTTAAGTCTAGAAATCAATTCCTTTCTAAGAGAAAAATAAAACATTAAACAAACCTAAAAAATTCATTAGACTTTTAACAAGCACTAAAAACAAATGGAAGATGGATAAAAACCATTTGTTGTATTTAAGTCTTCTGCAGAATCTTACCTTTTTCCCAGAATGCTCAGCAAACAGGAACCTGGGATGCTTGGTTGCTGCGTGGGCAATGAATGCCTCCTTAAACTCCTGGGCCGTAGCATGTTGACCCCATTTTGACCTCAGCAACTCTGTATTCCTCTATTAGGTGAACAAACACATTTTTCAACATCTCAGTTTTAACAGTAGTTACAGTACTGAGAGCAATTATTTTTTTTTACAAGAAAACTTTTTTTCTGCTGGAAAAATGTGAATTTCATCATTATTCTAATTTCAAACTGATCATTACTGACAAAACAATTGTTCCAGCAATACACAGTTTTACTGCATGCATTCAATAAACTTTCAGAAGTTTTATTTTTCATACATGTATGTATTTTGATTTCAAAATGCCCTAAAATTATTGATAACTGATACATCATTTTTCTAACTTACCAGATCAGCAAGTTTGTGAGTTTCATGGATGCGCTTTTCTGGATCAAAAGTTCGAAGGTCAATTACAACTTGACCCAAGGAGTCATTGTTGACCCCTCTATCTTGGTCAATCACGTGAAATATCAGGTATCTAGAAATATTTATAATATTTTTATTTTTTTAAAATTAAGAGCTTTGTGTATCAAAGAGACATAAATATTGTTTACAAATCTTCTATAATAAAAAGATTATATTATCTGCAATTTATATATTGTATGTGATAATATTCCATGGAATCTCATAAATACAGATTAAACCAAAACTGTTTATCCCTGGAATATTCATTTATGTGCTGTTGTAAATAAGTAGATTGACAGTTTTATAACCATATCAAAGTGCATGCACTAAAAACTTTTTGGAGACTTGTAAGATGGAGGGAAGACTTCCTCCTAACCTGCTGCTGAGATCTTCTTGTGTCACGTCAAACTCAAACGTCTCATTCCACTCTGGGTCCAGTGTATCTCTTATGACCTGTGCAAGTCAAATATTCAATGTATAGAATAATCAATGTGCAGAAAAATCAGCGTACATAATATTCAATGTATAGAATATTCAATATACATAATATACAATATACAAAATTCATTTATAACTGATTGTTTGAGTCCTAACCTGGGTTTGGAACATAGATGATGTACCAGTCACGGTCAGTTTAACAAAAGGATCAGCTGATTTTCCCTCATCCCTGGCACTGAGTCCCCGCCCACGATACATGGTCACCAGGAGACAGGAGGGGAGCTGGAACTCCACCCCAAACTCTAGTTCTCCTGTCACATTCAGGTCAGTCTGGGAAGGAAATAATATATTAAATTTGCATTTTCCAAAACATTCTTCTTGTATAAAAAAAAATATCAGAAACCCTATAAGTCCTGCTTGTTTTGGGATTTCATATCATTTTAAGATAATGCTAAAACATTCAAATATTCAATGAAAGATTTATTAATGTTGTGTAAATGTTGTCAACTCTTTCACTCTGGTTAAAGAATCCAACTGAAATTTAACTCAAATAACACTATATGACACTTGATACATATGATTTATGTAACATATGGCAGACATTGTTGCATTAACAACCTCACCTCCATGTTGAGTGTGTACCAGGCGGTGTGAAATGGTGTCTCTCGAAAGTTAAATGTCATCATGTCCACTATGACCTCCCCAATAAAGTCGTCCTGTCCCATGATATCAGCATCCATAACCTGGACAACCATTTTCAGGTCATTCAGCTCATGTTCCTCCAGGGGGAAGGCAAAAATTTCATCATAGACAGGATCGTTACATTGTCTGACGATCGCTGTTCTTCTCTCGCCTGCTGCTTCATTGTCAGGTAGGAGCGTCAACTTTATACGGAATAGAAAAGATTAGCTGCTGTATATTTTCTCACATGTGTTATAACAATATACGGAAACTTTAATCTATTTTGCACTATATATAACGCCTTTATTACATGTACGTTTATGCTGATTCAAGTGTAATTCCATAATTTGATCTATGATAATGAATATTGGTCTATAAATAAGCCCTTACAAATGTATATATCTTTCAATCATTTTATGCAATTTCTTGGTGAGATTATGCATTTATTTCAAATGTGATATCTGACTTCATTAAATATTTTACAATTGATTATTGTGTCATTTCATTGAATTATGAAAAACTATTTGCTGAAATTTAACTTTTTTAAGCTAGAAAAAATATGTCTATATGAATAAATCTTACCTTGACATATGGGTCAGACAATTTGGACCTTAAGTCTTTGCTTTTGAGTTCTCTGCACTTGATAACCTTGACTAACAATAGATGGCGCTTGAAGTCATACTTGTATGAGAGCTGGATTTCACCTCTCATATCTCCTACAGCCTTGGCCACGGTAGGATCAAGCTGCTTAAATAAGCCCTTCAGCAACTGGGTATTTCTCTATAAAAATTGGAAGTGATTGAATTGATATGATGCATTTTAGTTCTTTTTAAAAAATCTGGTCAACAGATGCACATGACATTGCAAAAAGTTTTTTAAAAAACATTTCTTAAGTATTTAACTTCAGTGAATAGAAAAAAAAAACCCAACCAAAACAAATGAAAGTTATTTTGTCAACAAAGCGACACTTTACAGATGAAATACACATTTAATTAAGAGAGATGACGATCTCATAAAAATATACATGTACATGTACTAAGAAAGTCTGACAATATGAGACATTTTCTTTTCTTTAAAGAAAAAAAAACAGAAGAAAATATGATGGTGACTCTAAAGATGGAAATTAAGCAGTGAATGTAGACTTCACCATATTCTCATTATGTTTGTCCCAGCCCTGGACGGCCACCTCCCTGTTGTGCTCAGCTTTAGCCGTCAGAATTCTGGACAGACCCTGGATCTTCTTGGTATTCTGTGGGATCACACCCTTCTCTGGGTCAGCCTGAGGACTGTTATATTTAGAATTTTGCTGTCCCATTCTGTTACATTTATCTGTTGTAAAAAAATACACATGTACCCAGTAAACAACTTTCAATAATTTCTTTAAAGAATAAGATTTCAAAAAGTTTTAAGATTAACTTTTGTCACAACTAGTGAAAAGAAAATCTGGTAAGCAAATATTTGCCCTCAGTGTGAAGTAAACTTGAGCTTTTGACATAATTGCAGATAAATTCCACTGAATTATTGGTACCACACATATTCTAAGATTTCCAAAAGTATCAAAGATCCATTGTCTAATTTTAGTTTTGTAAACTTAAAAAAATTCAGAAGAGACAACAGAATTTAAAATACTGATATACATGCAGTATTATAGTACATTACATCAGAGAACTATATTAGTATGTAAACATGTACCAAGTATTCTAAATTATCTGGCTAAATGTGTCAATAAAATAAAACTCTGCAAAGGTACAAAGAACTACGAACTCTAACTCTTGATTACCGCCTACATTTTGCACCCATTAAATTCAATATTAATGGCAATTTGGCCATTAAATCTTTGTTTAAAAAAAAGAACAGTTCTATGGTAATTGATTAATCATTTTAATTCCAGCGCTAGATAGTAAATAATCATTTATTCCAGCTCTTGAAAAAATGGGTGTAGATGATATTTTCTAGTGAAATCGAACTTTCAAGAATCACCATATTTTGAAATAGTCTTTTAAAAATATGATAAAATATATCTCATATCTTTTCTTATGTTTTACGCAAATAAATAAAATATATTTAAAATAATAAAATACAATCATTAAGTTGTAAATAGCTTTAAAATTAGTGAAAAATCATCATTTTTTTTGTTTTTTGTCAGCTATAAACATATGTTCCCATACGTGAAACACAAAAAGCTTTGGCATAAATTTGTAAAATGACAGTCCATATTACCTGTAAAAAGGAATTTTTGTTTCATGGGGGGGGGGGAGTTGTTTTAAAAATATTTTCCGTTTTCCATTGATTTCTATAGTGAAAAACAAAAGTTTTATCAAAATTATAGAGTTATCTTTCTTTGGTATCCCAAATAAGTAACGTTTTATGAAAATTCATATAAATATCTATAAAATATTTGAAAATCATTCGAATATGTTAACTTTTGAGAATCGACTTAGAGGTAGGCGGAAGAACAATACTATCGTTCGTAGTTCTTTTAAAATGCATTTGAATTTGGTGGCTATCCTTAAAATTCCAGCAGCTACATTGACAAGACTGAAATATTAAACAATGTGAGAATATATAGAAATGCGTCCATAGTAACGGTTTAAAAAAAAGTGAAGAGGAACTAGGCCTACGAAGTATTTTCCTTTTTACACTGAAAAGTTGCCACGGGTATATAACGAGGTATTTGGCTCAAATTTTTACCGAATTTGCGTGCATTTTTTTCTGAAAAGTGTTTATAATATCAGGCACACCTTATAACGCATTATCTCAGAGATATATATCAGAAAACATACTATCGATATATCATCAGTATTGCGAGGTTCAGTCATGTAACATTTTCCATTGGATAGGAAATAAAATTACACAACGTCTACGTTATGACTTCATAAACAAACACCTAAAAATGTTGTAAATATATAAAATATTAATCAATTGAATGTAACTATATAACTTCAATACTACCGTGACAATGTAACCATAAAACTTCCACTGCTGTCTTCTCAGTCCACGAATGCCGCCATTACTGTTTACCTTAGCAAAATGACGTCACACCTTCAAAGAAAAAATATTTTGTTCGGTTTCGTAAATTATCCAATTTGTTTCAAATTACGTATACAAGTGGGCAAAATAATTACCACATATCTAGACTGGTGCCCTGACATTGGTTAACGGGCGCAAGCGCCCTAAAAAACCAACGACAGAGACTGCCATTTTATCGCGTCAAGGAAACCGCACTGATGAAAAAATCTATATTTAGACTAGCGTAAATCCAGAAGTGCTGAAGTAAATAAACCCTTCTCTCTGCACTCTACACATGCTACACTGCTGTTAACACAGAAAGTAGACGGATTTAAAGCATCTGTAAAACCATAAAGAAGTGCTACCTCAAAAACCATTAAATGTAAAGCGATATCACAGGTCCCATATGCATATCCTACCAAAATAATTCAAATCAAGATCTATTGCATGATTAATTTTCCAACATATTTGCCACTGATATGATAATTAAATCATCGATTTAGTTATAACACTTGTTCTTTAACATTATTTATTTTCTAAAGTTTACGGGGAATGCTATAACTCGTCTCTCTAACTCCATGTTATGGTACGTGCACCAGGAATAGCACTGGTTCTCTGCCCTTGATTCCAGTCGCTGCCGCTAGGAATTACAAGGACAGGTAGTCTCGTTCAACCAGACGCTCGGCTGTCTCCGTAAACTCCGACCAGCAGAGAGTATGGTAAAGAGTCACATTAGCGTTTGTTACCGTCAGAAGGCGCTATCTTGTTTACATTTTGATGACCTTTTTTTGAAACGAATATTTAACATGTTTATTCTGATAGATTGTGAGTTTATATTAATAAACTTATCTTTAAATTTGTACATAAAAACGAGTAATTACAATATCAATAGAGGAAATATGTATTCCGCAGGTAGCTACACTACTTTCACTTTAGCTTCCGGAAATATAAAACATGCAAGACATTTTATAAAACACACTTACCTATAACCCATTGACATTACCGTAAACAATAAAATAATTCCTCTTTATCTGCTTTAACTTTTAGACATTCAACTTTTAAAACTTTAAGTTATTTTTCTGTCGATTAACCATGTATTTGTTTAAATTGTGGAGGTGTGTTCTTTTCAGCCAATCAAAAACTTTACCAGAATTTTGGTAAGCCTCGTTTTGGCGTTACAAACGATATCACGTATCTTTACCAGACCCTCTGGCTGGTCGGAGATTTACGGAGACAGCCGAGTGTCTGGTTGAACGAGACTAAAGGACAGGTAACCTCCGCCGCCATGACAGTGGAAAAACTCACTGCTTGCTTCGCGCATAGTACTGCGCATTCCAAAAATAAATAGCATCAATGCTTGCAGAGAAGCATGTTAGGTGGATCCAGCGATTTAAAAAACGTAGCATATCTTTCTTGATGAATAGAGCAATTGAATACGGTGAAATTATTCAAACAACATAGTAAGGACTTTATTAACTGAGTATATCATTAACTAACAATATAATGTCACAATAAACTTTCAAATGTTCCGTAGTGTTAACTTATTGTAATCCTTCTATTCCTGGTGCACGTACCATATGAGGTAGCACTTCTTTATGGTTTTACAGATGCTTTAAATCCGTCTACTTTCTGTGTTAACAGCAGTGTAGCATGTGTAGAGTGCAGAGAGAAGGGTTTATTTACTTCAGCACTTCTGGATTTACGCTAGTCTAAATATAGATTTTTTCATCAGTGCGGTTTCCTTGACGCGATAAAATGGCAGTGGTTACCTGTCGTTGGTTTTTTAGGGCGCTAAACCAATGTCAAAATGCTTGCAGAGAAGCATGTTAGGTGGATCCACCGATTTAAAAAACGTAGCATATCTTTCTTGATGAATAGAGCAATTGAATACGGTGAAATTATTCAAACAACATAGTAAGGACTTTATTAACTGAGTATATCATTAACTAACAATATAATGTCACAATAAACTTTCAAATGTTCCGTAGTGTTAACTTATTGTAATCCTTCTATTCCTGGTGTAGACTGGTGCCCTGACATTGGTTAACGGGCGCAAGCGCCCTAAAAAACCAACGACAGGTAACCACTGCCATTTTATCGCGTCAAGGAAACCGCACTGATGAAAAAATCTATATTTAGACTAGCGTAAATCCAGAAGTGCTGAAGTAAATAAACCCTTCTCTCTGCACTCTACACATGCTACACTGCTGTTAACACAGAAAGTAGACGGATTTAAAGCATCTGTAAAACCATAAAGAAGTGCTACCTCAAAAACCATTAAATGTAAAGCGATATCACAGGTCCCATATGCATATCCTACCAAAATAATTCAAATCAAGATCTATTGCATGATTAATTTTCCAACATATTTGCCACTGATATGATAATTAAATCATCGATTTAGTTATAACACTTGTTCTTTAACATTATTTATTTTCTAAAGTTTACGGGGAATGCTATAACTCGTCTCTCTAACTCCATGGGCCCACTCGATTGGGACCCTTCTAGAAGCAGAGGGGAATGTTGGAAGGGTTGGAATATGTATGTCTAAATCGAGTATTCAGAAGGATATTGAATAGGGTGGTATATTATCTGCAATGTGTTGAATTGAATTTCAAGAATTTGAATCCGTTTTTTCAAAGCATTAAATGTTAGTTCGAAAGGGAAACTTGAGATAAATAAAGAGTGGAAAAATTAATTTAATATAATAGTATTGGGAATATCTTTTTTTTTATTTATGTAAAGAAAGATTTAAAACATCAAGTGTCTGCAGAAGAATATTAAAGAGCATATAAAATAATTATGGTCAAATCAGGGACCTATTTACGGCTCAAAGCTGCACCCCATATATACATGGTAAATTATGAAACTGTGTTCAATGGTTGATTTTACTGCAATTACATAACAGAAAAAGGCTTCTTAACAGAATTAACCTTCGTACATGATAAAAATACTTTTTTGCAATTTATTTACAATAATAAAGATCCCCCAAGTTTTCACCAAACCGGTTGACGCCATATTAGAATGCTATCCTTCAGCTATCCTTCCATCTCTGACGTGGAAGGCTGAGAAGGCCTTCTAAGTCTACCCTACCAAACCAATCGAACAGACAGAAGGGTTATTCTGGAATAAGAAGGGTCCCAATCGAGTGGGCCCATGTGTTATGGTACGTGCACCAGGAATAGAAGGATTACAATAAGTTAACACTACGGAACATTTGAAAGTTTATTGTGACATTATATTGTTAGTTAATGATATACTCAGTTAATAAAGTCCTTACTATGTTGTTTGAATAATTTCACCGTATTCAATTGCTCTATTCATCAAGAAAGATATGCTACGTTTTTTAAATCGCTGGATCCACCTAACATGCTTCTCTGCAAGCATTAGACTGGTGCCCTGACATTGGTTAACGGGCGCAAGCGCCCTAAAAAACCAACGACAGGTAACCACTGCCATTTTATCGCGTCAAGGAAACCGCACTGATGAAAAAATCTATATTTAGACTAGCGTAAATCCAGAAGTGCTGAAGTAAATAAACCCTTCTCTCTGCACTCTACACATGCTACACTGCTGTTAACACAGAAAGTAGACGGATTTAAAGCATCTGTAAAACCATAAAGAAGTGCTACCTCATATGGTACGTGCACCAGGAATAGAAGGATTACAATAAGTTAACACTACGGAACATTTGAAAGTTTATTGTGACATTATATTGTTAGTTAATGATATACTCAGTTAATAAAGTCCTTACTATGTTGTTTGAATAATTTCACCGTATTCAATTGCTCTATTCATCAAGAAAGATATGCTACGTTTTTTAAATCGCTGGATCCACCTAACATGCTTCTCTGCAAGCATTGATGCTATTTATTTTTGGAATGCGCAGTACTATGCGCGAAGCAAGCAGTGAGTTTTTCCACTGTCATGGCGGCGGAGGTTACCTGTCCTTGTAATTCCTAGCGGCAGCGACTGGAATCAAGGGCAGAGAACCAGTGCTATGCAAGCATTGATGCTATTTATTTTTGGAATGCGCAGTACTATGCGCGAAGCAAGCAGTGAGTTTTTCCACTGTCATGGCGGCGGAGGTTACCTGTCCTTGTAATTCCTAGCGGCAGCGACTGGAATCAAGGGCAGAGAACCAGTGCTACCACATATCTATATTTTGTGATTAATAAAATTTTCATTACCTTCCATACTAAGCTAAAATCATCCAGTCGGATATTTACGGAAATATAAATTCTATCAGAGTTATCGTTCTTCTCACAATAACAATTACAATTTTTTTTTTTTTTTTTTTTTAAATGAAACGGGGCTTTTACAAAACCTGGCATAAAGAATTCACTTCAAAATAAAGTATAAGAGTAATTTATATATATTTTTATGTAATAAGGCCCTATTCAAGCAATATCTATATGTAGATTTTGGATGAACTTAATTAACGACAACTTAGAACGGTGATCAATACAAATTGTAAGTAGGGCGAAATTAATGGGCCCCTGAACTTGAGAGGAATAGTAGACATTCTCTGTATACCCACCTTTAATACATGTAACATAATCTTTTTTCTATGTCATATGGATTTGAAAATTGAAATTTTCGATGACCCCCCCTTCTCCCTCAGCTATTTTTTCAGACAGTGCTTTCTCTCTCTCTCTCTCTCTCTCTCTCTCTCATTATTTGAAAAAAAAACCCATAATTTAGTACCTCAGACATCTCTAGTAATAACTAATTGACATCTGGCGGACATAGTTAACGGATTAAATGCTAATAATGTTGCAGTGCCTTATCAGATCAGTTCAAGTGCATTACCTCGTTAAAATTTTTCTTCACGAATGTTTTAATTATGATGCATTTTAACTTTGAAACACTGCTTTGCTAGAGAAAATCTATGTAGCAGATAGAATATTTACCTGATTTTTAAATGCCGCGTAACATTTATCCCCCCCCCCCCCCCCCCCAAGTTGTAAAAGAAGAAAATACGGTTGTTACCACTATCGGCCTAGTAAATTCGTCAAAAATAAACAATGA